CTCCTGAGATCAGGAGCAAGATAGGACACCCATTCCCACCACCGCTATTCAGCATTATACTGGACCCTCTAGCCAGAGCCATGAGACAAGCAACAGAAACAAAGGGCATCCAAATTGGAAAGGATGAGGGAAAACTATTCTCAATCACAGATGACTTGACCTTACGTACAGCAAATCCCAAAGGGCTCATAAGGAAACTCGTAGAGCTAATAAACGAGCTCAGCAAACTTGCAAGGAGCAAGGCAGACACACAGAGATCAATTGTGTTTCTACACATCGGTAGTGAACTCTCCCAAAGGAGATTTTTTGAAAGGTACAGAGTTTTTGTTGGGGATGACAAGAATGTCCTGTGTCGTTAGTGGTGATGGTTGTACAACACTGTGTATCTATTTAGTGCCATTGGACTGTGTAGTTATGCATGGTCAAGAGGACATTGTTATGCAGATTTTGTCACAGTTAAGACATAATCTACAGAAAGATAATCATAGATATCGTAATGTCTACTAATTATATGGAGCAGAGATCCACAAAGTGAGCACGGCTCACTGCACGTATAGCCCCCAAGCTAAAAATGACTTAGACATTTTTTTTAATGGCTGAAAAACCCAAAGGACGAATAATATTTCAGGACACTTGAAAATTATGGGAATTCCAACTTTCAGGATTCAGAAGTAAAATGTTTTGGAACCAAACAATTGGCGGGATTTGGATGATTGATTTATCCTTAGTTAGGGCCCTGATATGGTTGCCTCTCCTCAGGTGATTCAAATCCAAGCCACTGATCACCGAAATGACCTCTTTTTTTTATGGTAAACCTTTACTTTCTACACACTTTAGAAAGTGCCCGCGCCTTTGCCTTCCTTATAGGTTTTAGTATTTTTGCACCCTGGTGTCTCATGAATGGACTTGCCTTTTAGAGGTTCCATTTACTAGTGTTATGGGATCCACAGGATTTATTCTCCTCTCTTCCACACTGTGAAGCTCTTTCTGTACTTGAGCATCGGACCACTGACTTGTCACCTGTGTGGCCACTGGTGGATCCATTGTTCCTGTACTTGGCACACTTCCTGTCCATACACCTGCCACCATCCTTCCCACCTGGCGCCCTTTCAGAGCTGCTGGGCTTGCCTCAATGTCCCGCTTGCACAAATAGACACATTCAGAGCTCTGCTCTATCACCTGCCATGGATATAAAAGAAGAAAAAATAGTCCCGTCCATTCACCTTCCCTCACTTATTAAAACCGGTGACAAACTCAACATATTTTATTTGTGTTCATCCTGCTTTTATATTTCAACCGCCTTTTCCTAACCTTTATATTAATTTTCTATTTTTCACTGTAATTATGAACTCGTAGCTTTTCATAGAATCAACTTCTTCCAAAAAACGATGTTAATGTTATTTTCATTTCCAAATTGTCACAGGTGTCTGGCAGGATTCCTTCCTTGGATGCCTTGTTTTAGCAGCCTTGTTGCTGGCTTGATTTCTGGCAACAACATGGTATTCAGGTCTGTCCTGAATTTTCCTGATGCAAGACACAAATAGCTACTCTCTAAGAAGACAGATTTCTTTTCGGAGGAAACAGAGCTAGGGAGTAAACTCTGGTCACTGGTATCACACAAGAGAATTGGGGGTAGGTAGAGATGCTACTAGGTCCTGTTTGCCTCCCTTAGGAGAGACAGAGTCGGAAATAGTATCTTAAACATAATTTTAGAAGTATGAGCTCACATCATGTTTCCGATTGAATATATTTCTTAAAGGGTGAGGTATTGTCAACAACTAATATCTTATACTATGTTGACAGTTACTTTATTAAAGGAGTTGGTTAGAGGAAATTAAAATAAAATGGAGAAACCAGGCAAATAGAAACAGGTTTGAGATGGTTGAGAATCAGTACTGAGGGGGAATTGCATATGCCGATTCAAGGTGGTAGTGCGTATCAAAGTCCAGAAAATACCAACAAGTGTTTCATAATTAAACAATCCCTGGTACGAACTATGCAACCCAAGGAGAAGGTGCCAGTCACTGAGCTGGCTTTGGGCAAGCTCAAAGGTCTTGGAAGAATTTCTAAACTCAGTAAAGGCAGAGACAGAGCAGTTCTAGTTAGAGGGGCCAAGACAAGACATCGAAGGGAAAGGACAGGAGACGTCTGAGCAGAGGAGGCCAGGAGGGAGCAGGTTGAGAAGGCATTTGGGGACTCTAAATCTGGGCAGGCTGAACACCTGCTGGTAAGTTCATTGTGACCAATTATGCAATAAAATCTACAAACCCAGGGACTTTTTAAAATAAATTTTAATCTGTTTCTTCAAAATTAATACATTTTCATTTAGGGATCTGAAAAATTGGCTACTCCAGAACAGAGACCAAAATCACAATGAAATAATAAATATCACAGTAATTGTCAACATTCTGGAGTTTCATACCCCATGTACGCATTGTTTATGTAGTGTAATCTTACTTTCTTCATCTTTGTAGCTGATCTTTTCACGGAATACAACAATTTAAACAGATTTATGAAAATGGTATTTCATTTTTAATGCATATTTTATTCCCCCCCCATCTTTTAATATTTATAATGCATACTTTTTTTATTGAGATATAATTGAGGTATACCGTTATGTGTTTCAGATATACAGCGTGATGATTTGATATTTGGATAGATAGTGGAATGATGGCCACAGTACGTCTAGTTAGCATACATTTCATGCACGTCTCCTATGTGTAAGCAAGGTGGAATAGACTTACTGGGAGTCTAACGCCTTTTTGAGAGGAGAGGAGAAGGAGATGCTTTAATGCACCTGATTTAAGCACGAGAGGGAAGGAAAAGATTAACAGAGTCAGAATCCAGAAATTAACCTAATAGTGTTAGTCAGCCTCTTGTAATGAGACCTGCTCTATTTATTAAGGATAATACATGCTAGAAAAGGAGTGTGACAGCCCAATAGTCTGTTCAGAAATTTTTCAATGAGGTATCACAATACTGTCACAGGGTCAATGAGCTAGGAATTTTCATGCTCTGTTGATCAGAGTGTAAACACTGATAGGGCAGAGCCTTTTGAGAAATTGGTTTGGAACATCAGATAAGAGCTTCAGAATATATATATTTAATAATTTTCCATAGCATCATAAAATCTGAATAAACATCATTATAATTTCTTTTTTCAAAACTGTTTAGGTAGTCTGTGTATTTTCTATTGCTACATATCATGAAGCAGATAATGCCTGGATTTCAGTTGCTCTTTTATTTATTTTTTATTTTTATTTTCTTAAAGATTTTATTTATTTGAGTGAGAGAGAGAGCACAACCAGGGGGAGGGGCAGAAGCAGACTCCCCACTGAGTAGGCAGCCAGACATGGGGCTCGATCCCAGGACCCCGAGATCATGACCTGAGCCAAAGGCAGACACTTTACCTACTGAGCCACCCAGGCACCCCTCAATTGCTCTCTTAATTTATCAGTTCAAACTTAGAAATGGAGGTAGGCCCAGAGTTAGAGCTTCATTAAATAGTTTAAAAACAAAATTAATAAAAGATTAATCATTCTAAGACCATGTTAGAATAATACAAATGTATTGGGGTTGTCAAATTCAACTCAAAATGGATTAAAGACTTAAATGTAAGACCTAGAACTTTAAAACTCTGGAGGAGGGCGCCTGGGTGGCTCAGTTGGTTAAGCAACTGCCTTCGGCTCAGGTCATGATCCTGGAATCCCGGGATAGAGTCCCACATCGGGCCCCCTGCTCAGCAGGGGGTCTGCTTCTCCCTCTGACCCTCTTCCCTCTCATGCTTTCTGTCTCTCATTCTCTCTCTCTCAAATAAATAAATAAAAAAAAAACTTTAAAAAAATAAAATAAAACTCTGGAGGAAAACATAGGAGAAAATCTTAATGACATTAATCGTGATTTCGTACCAGAAGTACAAGCAACAAGACGAAAATAAACAAGTGGGACTTCATCAAACCAAAAAGCTTGAGAACAGCAAAGGAAACCATCAACAGAGAGAAAAGGCATTCTTTGAAATGGAAGAATTTGGCATTTGCAAACCATGTATTTGATAAGAAGTTCCTTTCCAAAATATATAAGGAACTCCCACAACTTGTTAGTAAAGGAAACTAATAACCAATTCAAAAATGGGCAAGGACTGAAGTGACATTTCTTCAAAGAAGATATGCAAATAGCCAAGAGGTACATGAAAATATGCTCCACGTCACTCATCATCAGGGAGATGCAGATCAAAAACACAATATCACTTCATACCTGTCAGGATGGCTACTAACAAAAAACAGTGGGTAGCAAGTATCGGAGAAGATGTGGAGAAACTGGAATTCTCAAGAATTGGAATGTCAACGTTGCAGCCATTTTGGAAAACACTTGGCAGTTACACAGAACGTTAAACCTGGGTTTGCTCTATGACTCAGTGATTCCAGGCTTATGTATAGACCCAAGAGAATTGAAAATGTATGTCCACACAAAAACATGTGCATGGATGTTTACTTAAGCATTATTCCCAGTAGGCAAAAAGCTGAAAAAACCAAATGTTTGTCAGCAGATGAATGGATAAAAAGCATGTGGTACATCTGTACAAAGGGATGTTAGCCATTAAAAGGAGTGAAGTACTATTACACGCTACGACGTGGATTGGCCTTGAAAACATTATGCTAAGTGAAAGCAAGCAGTCACAAAATGCCACAGAGTGTATGAATGCATTTATATAAAATTCCAGAATAGGCAAATCCAAAGAGACAGAAAGTGGTTGCCAGGGGTCGAAGGGAGAGAGGAATGGGGAGTTGTTTCTATGAGTATGGGGTTATGAAATGCTCTAAAATTGTACATGGATAACAACTCCATGAATATACTAAAAACTGCTGACTTGGGTAATTTAAAGGGGATGATTTTATGGTATCTGACTTATATCTCATTAAAGCTTTTAAAAAAATAGCAATTATATTATTTTCTCCCCTCAGCAGATTTCTTTTCATAAAAAGCCAGAAGAGTGCAAAGAGATGAACCAAATGAAAGCTTGCTCTATAAAGCTGAATGATGGACACCTCATGCCTATGCTGGGATTTGGCACCTCTGCTCCTAGTGAGGTAGTCGTAATGACATTGGAGATGGAGAGTAGCAGACATGGGTCCTTATCAGAATCAGAATTTAGGAAATGCAAGAAGGCCTCATTTTCTCCATTTGTAAGCTGCTTCTCTCCAGGTTAGGTTGTTTTCTGCATTAGGTCAATACTTTTCAAATTTTAATAGGCATACAAACACTGGAGGATCTTGTTAAAAATGCAGATTTGGGGGCTGCACCCACAAAGGTTCTGAATGAGTAGATCTGGGAATAGGGCTTAAAAATCCACATTTCTAATGAGCTAGCCAGTGACTCTGATGCTGTTTATCCAAGGATCACACTTGGAGTGGCGCTCTATCAAGGGACATGGAAGTGTGTCATCTATCAGCAGTCCAGGCATGGGCAACGCTGTTTCTGTTCCTTGCACCTGCTGTCCAGTTGTAGCCATTCAAAGTCTGTTGGAATCAGTAAAACCCAGGAGTCAGGGACTTCGCAGCAACCTTGCTTGTCATGAAGTTTCTCTGTAACGCCCAGGGTCCAAGAGCTCTCTGTCCACCCACGCTCGTAGAATATCTAGAGAAATCTCAGACGCTGAAGGATCTGGAGAGAGGCAAGATTCACGTAGAGGGAGTGTTGGTGATCTGGAGTGGAAATATTCTCTTAGAGGCCTGGTTGTTAAGACTGTGCCATGGGGAGAGCCACGTGGCCCTTGGACATTCTCTCTCTGCTTGGAAAACTGAACTCCATGCGTGTTTCTTGTTTGAACATCGCGAATTTACAAGAGCACATCTTCAGTGGTTCTTGGCAGAGGGGCTTATAACTATTTAGAGCAAGTTGTAGGGCTCGTTCCCCAGCATGAGAGTCACATGGGATGTCATGCTGAGGACTCAGCAAGGACGCTAGCACAGAGTGTTCCTTTTCCTCGGACGTGGCTTTTAAGTCTGTATCATTAGGAGTTACAAATGAAAAAATAACCCTGGGAGACATTTTAAGTGAGGGAGAGGAGGGGCACAGAGAGAGGAAATTATGGATAACTTTAAAAGTCCAGCCTGGTAAGCCAGCAGAACAGTAGGCAGCTAAGAAAAATAACCAAGTTGTCTATTGATTATAGGAGAAAGTATCACCTACAGACACCAACTTAGTAATAACCGCCACCATAACAACAAACTTAATGACGAGCTGTTTTTGCGTAAAAGAATAGTTTATTTTCTTTTACCTCTTTGTCCTTCCTCAAATGTTGTTTGAAGTGTTTCTCCAAGTTGACATAGGTAAATCATTAATTTATTCTGTGTAAAGTTATACCTTCATTGCACTGATAGATAATTTTGAGCCTTAGACTTCTGAATTGCAATAATCTCTTACCAGTGAATTAACTTGGGACTGTAAATCTATAGACTGTATAAAACCACAGATCATGTAAACCCAGAGGCAGAGGGTTAAACCAGTGACGAGTGGGGCCAGCTCATGGGCTCACAAGATCCGATGGTGAGCACCTTTTCCTAATATTCATAGCTTGAAGTTAGCGGTGGTGGGAGTATTTATACCATAGAAACTGGCAAATATTCTAAATCAGGACTTCTTTTCTTCAGAGAGTCTGTTGTTAAACATTTACCACTAAGGTTATAAGTCAACATTTAGCTCTGTCACCTCTAGCTCTCAGCCCTTAGAAAAACAATAGGTCCTGCTGAATAGCTCTGCTTGTGGAACTGGCATTCCTGAATCCAGTAGGTCCTTGTCTTTTTATGGTCTTCTAGGTTGCGAAGAGTAATGTAGAAGAGGCTGTCAAGACAGCAATCGATGTAGGCTACCGCCATATTGACTCAGCTTATTTGTATCTAAATGAAGAAGAGATTGGGAGGGCCATCCGGAAGAAGATGGCCGATGGCATGGTGAAGAGAGAGGACATATTCTACACTTCGAAGGTTCTGTGTATAGTTTCCTATGTATCTGTGAATAATAGACATGTTGGGTCTCTTTCCTCTGAAGTAGGAAAATAGAACTGCTCCAAGGATGAAATTAATATTTGTAAAAATACTTATGTATTTTGTTAACTTTTTAAAAAAGATGTACTTATTTATTTTAGAGAGAGAGAGTGTGCATGTGCACCAGCAGGGGGAGGGGTAGAGGGAGAGAGAATCTCAAGCAGGCTCCCCACTGAACACGGAGGCTACGCGGGACTTGATCTCATGACCTGAGATCTTGACCTGAGCCTAAATCAAGACTTGGATGCTTAACTGAGTGAGCCACCCAGGCGCCCATATATATATATATATATATATATTTTATACTTTTGAGCATTTCTCCTACTATTCCTCATATCCATGGATATCATATCTGAAACAAATAAAAGAACTTATATATTTAAGTCAGACTAGAAAGAGAATCCAAGAGGCATTTTTCCAGTAGTGTTCATTGAGCTGACTACTACTAGAGCCAAATATATATATATTTTTAAAGATTTTATTTTATTTGAGAGAGAGAGAGAGAACAAGTGGGGTGAGGGCCAGAGGGAGAAGCAGACTCTGCGCTGGGCAGGGAGACCAATGTGAGACTTGATCCCGGGACTCTGGGATCATGACCTGAGCCAAAGGCAGACGCTTAACAACTGAGCCACCCAGGCGCCCCTAGAACCAAATATTTAAATGTGAGGTGAAGTAGCCCATGAAGAGAGAGTTGAAGTCCACGCAAATGAATCCTAGGCAGGTCTGTGAACAGATATCTCTTCCTTTTCGCTCCAGAAGATGAAGCTTTCTCTGTGTGTTAGACGTGGTATCACCATCTTACTCTCATCTGTTTATCTCCTTTCCATTAGATCCTTTTGTTTTGTTGGTTTTAGCAATTTTGATTGATTTTCCTTAAATTATTACTTCTTTAAAATAAGCTGACTAAAGTACCCTCCCCACCAAAATCCCGATAGGGCCCAATTTTCTTGGGAAAATTGAACCTGAACCATTTAATACAGTCAAGACACAATTTCCTGAATCACAACTGCTTGAGGTTCTTGTTTAAAATGTGATTTCCCAGCTCAGTCTCCAGATACTGTGATTTATTAGGTTTGAGGTAGAACCCAGGGATGCGTTCTGTACAGTGAGACCAATTAATTCCTTTATGTTCTAAAGTTTGTGGGGCGCCTGGGTGGCTCAGTCGTTAAGCGTCTGCCTTCAGCTCAGGTCATGATCCCAGGGTCCTGGGATTGAGCCCCACGTTGGGGCTCCCTGCTCAGCTGGAAGCCTGTTTCTGCCTCTCCTACTCCCACTGCTTGTGTTTCTGCTCTCGCTATCTCTCTCTCTGTCAAATAAATAAATTAAAAAAAAACTTTAAAGTTTGAGACCCTCGGTGTAGGGCCATACTTGTCCATTTCTACCTCATTGTCTTAATTCAGTATGAAACAGAAACCATGAGGATACGGAACTTAGGAGCTTGGCAGGATGACTTCCCAATGACGGCACTTGGATTTGTGGTTGCTGTTGTTTACTTGCCATTTTATTATTTTCTCCTAAAGATTTTTTTTTTTGTTAGCTGAATCAAATAGTTTTATTTGGTTCTGCTTAGGCTAGAACCAGGCAGCAAGCCCCTGATGACTCAATCAAATAAGCCATATTAAAATAAAACAATTTTTTTTTTATTGAAGTGAAGTTAAAAGAGCATTTTTTGTTACAGAAGTAGAGTTGAAATACAATATTCTTTTAGTTTCAGGCATACAACAGAGTGGTTTGACAAGTCTATACATTACACAGCACTCACCACGATAAGTGTAGCCCCCATCCGTCTCCATACAACGCTGTTGCAACATTATTGACTATATATATTCTCCATTCTTCATGACCTACTTACTGTTTAACTAACTGGAACTTCATACTTCTTGATCTCCTTCACCTGTTTCACCCCTCCCCTGCCTCCCGTCCCTTCTGGAAACTACCAACTACCATTTTCTCCTCTGTATTTATGAGTCTGTTTCTGTTTTCTGTTTGTTTGTTTGTTCATTCATTTGTTTTGCTTTTCAGATTTCACATATAAGTGAAATCATATGGCATTTTTCTTTCTCTGAGTTATTTCACTTAGCATAATATCCTCTAGGTCCATCCATGTTGTCACAAATGGCAAGATTTCGTTTTTTTATGAATAACATTCCATTTGTATATATACATATGTATCACATCTTTTTTATCCATTCATCTATCATTGGACATTTGGATTGTTTCCATATCTTGGTTGTTGTAAATAATGCTGCAATAAACATAGGGGTGCATGTATCTTTTTGAATTAGTGTTTTCGTTTTCTTTGGGTAAGTACCCCAAAGTGGAATTATAGTAGTAGATAATATGGTATTTCTAGTTTTAATTTTTTGAGGAACATCCTTCCATGCTGTTTTTCACAGCAGCTGCACCAGCTTGCATTCCCACCAACAATGTAGAAGGGTTCCCGTTTCTCCACATCCTCGCCAACACCTGTTGTTTCTTGTGTTGTTGATTTTAGCCATTCTGACAGGTGTGAGGTGGTATCTCATTGTGGTTTTGATTTGGATTTCCCTGATGGTTGATGATGTTTAGCATCTTTTCATGTGTCTGTTGGCCATCAGCTTATCTTCTTTGGAAAAATGTCCATTCAGGTTTTCTGCCATTTTTAATCAGATTATTTGTTCTTTTGGTGTTGAGTTGTATAAGCTCTTTATGTATTTTTGATATTAACCACTTACCAGATATATCATTTGCAAATATCTTCTCCCATTCTGTAGGTTGCTTTTTCTGTTTTGTTGATTGCTTCCTTCACTGTGCAGAAGCTTTTTACTTTGGTGTAGTCCCAACGGTTTATTTTTGCTTTTATTTCTCTTGCCTCAGGAGACATATCCATAAGTATGTTGCTGAGGCCAACATCCAAGAGATTACTGCTTGTGTTTTCTTTTAGGCTTTTTATGGTTTCAGGTCTCACATTTAAGTCTTTAACCATTTTGAGTTTATGTGTATGCATGTGGCTGTCCAGTGTTCCCAATACCATTTGTTGAAGAGACTGTCTTTTTTCCATTGCATATTCTTTCCTGCTTTGGTGAAGATTAATTGACCATACAGTTGTGGGTTCATTTCTGGGTTTTCTGGTCTGTTCCATTGATCTATGTGTCTGTGTTTGTGCCAGTACCATGCTGTCTTGATTACTACAGCTTTGTAGTATAACTTGAAATCCAGAATTGTGATATTTTCAGTTTTGTTTTTCTTTCTCAAGATTGCTTTGGCTGTGCCGGGTCTTTTGTGGTTCCACACACATTGTAGGATTGTTTGTTCTAGTTCTGTTGGTATTTTGAGAAGGATTGCATTGAATCTGTAGATTGTTATTGGTAGTATGGACATTTTAACAATATTAGTTCTCCCAGTCTGTGAGCATGGTGTATCTTTACATTTGTTTGTGTCATTCATCTTTAATTTCTTTCACTAATGTCTTATAATATTCAGAATCCAGGTCTTTTATCTCCTTGATTAAATTTATTCTTAGGTATTTTATCCTTTTTGGTGCAATTGTAAATGGGATTATTTTCTTAAGTTCTTTTTCTACTGTGTCCTTATTGTATAGAAATGCAACAGATTTCTGTATATTAATTTTGTCTCCTGCCACTTTACTGAATTCTGAATTTACTAGTTCTAATAGTTTTTTGGTGGAGTCTTTATATGGTATCATGTCTGCATTACAAATAGTGACAGTTTTATACTTTATTAATTTCTTCTAAAGATTCTTAAAAAAAAGGGGGTGCCTGGGTGGCTCAGTCGTTAAGCGTCTGCCTTCAGCTCAGGTCATGACCCCAGGGTCCTGGGATCGAGCCCGGCATTGGGCTCCCTGCTCAGCGGGAAGCCTGCTTCTCCCTCTCCCACTCCCCCTGCTTGTGTTCCCTCTCTCGCTGTGTCTCTCTCTGTCAAATAAATTAAAAAATCTTTAAAAAAGAAAAAAAGATTCTTAAAAAAAATCATCTCATACCATTTCTCTTTTAACCACTGCAGGTGTGGGGAACCTTCTTCCGTCCAGAATTGGTTCGAACCGGCCTGGACATGTCCCTGAGGAAGCTTGGGTTGAGCTATGTGAATCTTTATCTCATTCATTTCCCAGTAGCTTTGAAGGTTAGCAAAGTTATTTTACTTTGATGATCAACGTAACAATTAGTAGCTGAATACAGCAGAGGATATAGTTTATAAAAATGAGGAGAAAACATACATAATACTTTGAGATTCCCTTTTTTCTGCTACATATTCCCATCCCAGTCCCAGAGTGACAAGAGCTCACTGGCTTCCATGTCTTTGCTTTGATCTTATGAATCCATTGTCTGTATTTTGAAGATCCCATGCTCCTAAATCTCAGCCTCTGTCCTCTTGTGTCTGGGGAATGTCCCAATGTGGAGACCAGTTGAGGTACCGGAGATTTAATGAGTCTGGAGCTCAGGCCTTGAGATGCTGATGAGTCATGCTCTCGTATGGCCACCTCCAGGTGGAAAGCAGGGGTGGGAGTGGCCTATCCCAGAAGGGTCGGGGGCCAAAGGGCCTGTGGAGTCCTGGCACCACCCTCACTTCTCTCTAGGATGTTGTCCTTGACACAAACAATATTCATTAAACCTTTAGCAGTTAAAAACATACTTTCTAGGAAGTATACTTCCTCCACATACTTTCTTTCCCTTTAGCCTAACCTTCCCATTCGTTTCAAGAATGAGAATAGATTGTTGCATTAGCCTCAAGGTCTGTAGACGGCTTGGCTGGGGCCAAACATAGCTTTATACAACCTCTCATTCTTTTCTGTGTCCCAGCCTGGGGAGGAACTTTTCCCAAAGGACAAAGATGGAGAAATCATTTTTGACACAGTGGATTTCTGTGCCACATGGGAGGTGAGTATAACTCCAAAGATGCTATCTATGTCTCTGCATGTTGGGAGACAGAGGATGGACAAGGAATCCAGGAAACATGTGTCTCGTCCAATTCTGCTCCCGTGTAGACTTGGGCGAGTCCCTGGATGTCCCTCTGCCTTGGTTCACATCATCCCCATTTAATAATTCAGTAAGTACTTATTGAGTGTCTATGGTGTACTCAGTGTGGAGAATTTTTAAGTTCTCAGGCTACATCAGTGAACAGATCAAGGTCTCTGGGCACATGGTGTGGAAGGTGCTGTGGCATGAGGTTGGAATGGGAAGGGAAGGCTGACTCACGGAACTGAGAATGCCAAGGTAGCTATGGGATGCAGATGGGCAGGGTAGGCCCTCCTGAGCCGCTAACACGGGGCAAAGATTTGCAAGAAGTAAGGGAACTGATCATGTGGGTATCTGGAGGGAGAGTGATACAGGCATAAAGAAAGCCAAGGCCCAGTGTTGCTTTTTTTCTTTTAAAGATTTTATTTATTTACTTGAGAAAGAGTGAGAGCGAGCGAATGAGAGAGAGATAGCATAAAGGGAGAGGGAAAAGCAGACTCCCTGCTGAACAGGGAGCCCGATGTGGGGCTCGATCCCAGGACCCCAGGGTCATGACCTGAGCCAAAGGCAGATGCTTAACGACTGAGCCACCCAGGCGCCCCCAAGGCCCAGTTTTTAAGGTAAGAGAGAACCTATCGTGTTTAAGAACAGCAAGGGGGCATGTGTGACTGGAACAGAGTGAATTTGGTAACCCTAATAGGAAATGAGGTCAAAGGGAAAAGAGGGAGCCAGTGGTCTGGGGGACATGGATGGCCTCCTCCCTGCTTCCTGTGCTTCCCAGGCTCTACTTCCTGTTCTCCTGGAGCTTGTTTTGCCATCGTTCAAGGTTTTTTAGCTTTCAGCTAAAAATCGCATTAGCCCCTTTAGCTCTGTCATGAACCCCTTGCCTTCCTTCCTTACTCTATCTTCTTACTCATTTTTTTTTCTATTATTTTCTTTTTCATTCTCATACTCAGTTAACCAATTCCTATCTCATTTATTGACATCAGCACCTTTCAAGGCTTTCTCTGTCCTGCTGTGTCTCACCTTCTCTCCCAGCCCCAGCCCCCAGGCTGAGCACATTATTGTTTATCATGCTTCCCCAGCCAGTTACACAGATAACTCCTCACACCCCCTCTGTTCACAGGCCATGGAGAAGTGTAAGGATTTAGGGCTGACCAAGTCCATCGGTGTGTCCAACTTTAGCTGCAGACAGCTGGAGATGGTCCTGAACAAGCCAGGGCTCAAGTACAAGCCTGTCTGCAACCAGGTGAGCCTCACCAGTCCGCCCCCCCCACGCCCCAACGTCTTCTCCCTCCTCAGCTTCCTCTTCCCTCATTTCAACAAGGTCACCAGTGGCCTCTCCCTCCCCTCTAGAGAACGGAGTGCATTGTAAGTTGTTGAAACAGGTCCCAAGGCCACATCGCTTTATAAACAAACATTGGAGGGTCAGGTTGGAGTGTAATCAACTAGAGGTGCTATGGTGGTTGGTCCTAGAAAATTAAAGCTAACCAACTACTGGGCTTTCTCACCTCCGGTCAGTAAAGTTGGAACACCCTTGTGTAAAGGAAAATGGAGAATTCTGTTGAGTTCTGTGTCACGACATAACCACTGAGACTCGAAGGTACAAAATCAGCCTGCCACAATGTGAATACATGAACGCCATTGAACCCTACACTTACAAATGGTTAAAATGGTAAACTTATTTTTTTTAATTTAAATTTTTATTTTTTTAAAGATTTTATTTATTTATTTGACAGAGAGAGAGTGCATAAGTGTGGGGGAGGGG